TGAGTAACTTGACTGACTTCAAGTTAGACACTCCAGTACAACCATCAACTTCAGTACCAGAACCTCTACCATCCACCTCAGCCCAGTAGGACCACAACATAACTCTCACTCTCTTCACAATCATCCACAAACACCAGTGCCCACAATTTAAGGTAAGAAATACTATTATTTCTGTTACATTTGTAGTCTTAAGCAGTAAAAACAACATAATACATCATAACAGTGAACTAAAACTGCATATTCACTTTTATTTTTTGAAGGATGTGGAAGCCTAAAACAAAGTTGTTTGGCTTTTTGGGGGCTTCCAGGAACGTAACCCTATTTTTCCCATGAGTTCTTCAGTTGTTCTAACACGATTTTACCTAACTTAGCATTTTCAGGAACGTAACTACTGTGCTATATGAAGGTCTGCTGTAGTACATTGAGATTATGCATTTACAATAATGGGTTGCAATACAAAGAGAGCCTCTATTATGCTTAGGCATTATGGGCCGACTTAATTTATTGGCTTACTGACTACTTAACACTAAAGAAATTTATCATAGTTGTACAGTAGTTCTATTAATTATAAGTGAATCTAATTTATATAAATCAAAGGATATACAGTGGACCCCCGGTTAACGATATTTTTTCACTCCAGAAGTATGTTCAGGTGCCAGTACTGACTGAATTTGTTCCCATAAGAAATATTGTGCAGTAGATTAGTCCATTTCAGACCCCAAGACATACACGTACAAACGCACTTACATAAATACACTTACATAATTAGTCACATTCGGAGATAATCGTTATGCGGGGGTCCACTGTAAATCAAAGGATATACTGTATTCATATATTCAAAAAAGTTTTTTGTGAAACATGATTTAATTGTATTCCTGTCAACTGTGGACAATAGCTTCAAAAGTAAATATTGAAATTATATTATGGGAATATTGAGTATTGAGCATTTAGTCTAGGGTGATTAACCCCTTCAGGGTCCAAGGCCAAAATCTGAAGTGGTGCTCCAGTGTCCAAGAAATTTTGAAAAAAAAAAAATTATTTTTTCTTACAGAATTAAAGAGTATATTTTTGTGAAGGTAATAAGACAAAAAACAAAAATTTCTGATCAGTACTTACCGAGATACAGCAACGGGAAGTTGACCCAAAATGACCGGGTGGCGGCAACATCAGTGACTTCCACAAAATCCCATTTTTTTATTTTACGTTTTTTATACTTTTTTCTTTTCTTTTCTATTTTTTTCTTTTTCTAATAACATTTGTGGCATGTGAGACCAGTATAATGTACATTGTATAAGTGTACACTCATTGTATTCCACGCAATAACCACTAATTTGTTTATCATTATATTGCTTACAAAACTTGTTTACAAGTTTATTGTAAACAAAATGATGAAAATATTAGTGCAGTTATTGTGTTGAATACAACAGTACCATATAGTACAGTGGTGCCATAGGGTGCAATTGTACCAAAATGGTACAATGGCACATTGATACAATGGTACCATATGGTACAATATGGCACATGATACAATTTGGTATCATATGATACAATGGTATCATATGATACAATGGTATCATATGATACAATGGTACCATATGGAAACAGTGGCACCATTTGGTACAATTGTACCATATGATACAATGGTACCATATGGTACAATGGCACCATTTGGTACAATTGTACCATATGATACAATGGTACCATATGGTGCAATGGTACCTTATGGTACCATATGGTGCAATGGTACCTTATGGTACCATATGGTGCAATGGTACCTTATGGTACCATATGGTGTAATGGTACCATATGGTACCATATGATGCAATGGTACCATATGGTACATTGTACCATATGGTACTGTTGTATTCATCACAATAAACACTAATATTTTCATTATTATTTTGTTTACAATAGTTGTTTACAACAAAAATATGCAAAAATGTTGTATATTAGTAATGTTCTATTATATATTTACAAGTGTACAGGAACCTGACGTGTTCCTTGAGGTGGATGACAAAGCACTTTGTCTGGGAAACTGGAGAGTCAGTAGCTAGCTTGTGTCGCCACTCACTCAGTCTTGGCTGGTGTCTCATGCCACCAACACCTATTGACCATATGGTACACGGTATCATATGTTACAGGGTACTATATGGTACATTGTACTATATGGTATAGGGTACCATGCAGTACAGGATAACATATGATGCAGGGTACCATATTGTGCAGGGTACCATATGGTACAGGGTACCATATGGTACATTGTACTATATGGTATAGGGTACCATGCAGTACAGGATAACATATGGTGCAGGGTAGCATATGGCACAGGGTACCATATGGCACAGGGTACCATATGTTACAGGGTTACCATATGGTACAGGGTACCATATGGCACAGGGAACCATATGGCACAGGGTTACCATATGGTACAGGGTTACCATATGGTACAGGGTTACCATATGGCACAGGGTTACCATATGGCACAGGGTTACCATATGGCACAGGGTTACCATATGGCACAGGGTTACCATATGGCACAGGGTTACCATATGGCACAGGGTACCATATGGTACAGGGTTACCATATGGCACAGGGTACCATATGGTACAGGGTATCATATGGTATAGGGTATCATATGGTACAGGGTATCATTATGGTACAGGGTATCATATGGTACAGGGTACCATATGGTAAAAGGGTACCATATGGTACAGGGTTACCATATGGTACAGGGCACCATATGGTAAGGGTACCATATGGTACAGGGTACCATATGGTACAGGGTACCATACGGCACATGACACCATATGGTACAGGGTTACCATATGGCACATGACACCATATGGTACAGGGTTACCATATGGCACAGGACACATATGTACAGGGTTACCATATGGACAGGACACCATAGGGTTTACAGGGTTACCATATGGTACAGGGTTACCATATGGCACAGGACACCATATGGCACAGGACACCATATGGCACAGGGTTACCATATGGCACAGGGTTACCATATGGCACAGGGTTACCATATGGTACAGGGTTACCATATGGTACAGGGTTACCATATGGTACAGGGTACCATATGGCACAGGGTACCATATGGTACAGGGTACCATACAGTACAGGACACCATATGGTACAGGGTTACCATATGGCACAGGGTACCATATGGTACAGGGTTACCATATGGTACCCTGTACCATATGGTACAGATACAGGGATAACTATTGAAATAAGTCACCCTGACTTTTTTTGGGTTATCCTAAGATTTTATACGTATGCTGCTATGTATGATAATCTACGTAATTGTATTTCTGTACACCTGAATAAACTTAATCAAGCGCATGTGGCATCATAAGTAAGTTTATTTAGTTATACACAAATAAAGTTACATAGAATATCATACTTAGCAGCATATGTTTGGAGAACCTAGGATAACCCAAAAAAGTCAGACAGACTTATTTCCATTAGTCCCTGTACCCTGTACCATATGGTATAATGTACCATATGGTACAATGTACTATATGGTACATTGTACCATATGGTACCATTGTACCATATGATACCATTGTACCATATGATACCATTGTATGACATGGCACCATTGTACCATATGGCACAATGGTACCATATGGTTCAAAACCATAGAATTTGTCTTCAGCTCCACTTCCATCAGTCTTAGAACTGTAAGTTGTGAAGAGGAGAGTCAGAATTCACCCAGAGAGTGAGTGGGGAGTGAGAGCTTCCTTGCCGCCAGGCACTATGAACAAAGCTACTTTTCTGGCATTCCCACAATGCCATGCAGGTGTCCAGATTTTTTCTATGGTGTGCACACTGACCACCCAGACCCATTCTCTCAGATGTAGGCCTACCAGCCTTCTCGTGCTAAATCTGACGCCGCTAGAATTTTGGTGTAGATCTACGGTTTGGACCCTGAACGTAAAGCCGTAGATCTACGGGACGGACCCTGAAAGGGTTAAGTGGTTTTGAGAAGAGTCTTAAATTGATTTTCAGACTGGGTTACTTTAGTATTTTCTGGTAATGAATTCCAAATTTTGGGGCCCTTTATGTGCATAGAGTTTTTACACAGTGTGATATGGACATGGGGTACATCAAAAAGAAATCTGTGCCTTGTGTTATGGTCATGTGTCCTGTTAAGGTTGGTGAGGAGAAGTTTGAGTGGAGGGTTTATGTTTGTGTGTATTCTATGTATGTGGTAGGCACATGAATAAATATGGATGTTCTTAACCCCTGAACAGTCCAAACGTATATATACATTCTTACCGCTAGCGCCCCAAATGTATATACGTATGTTTTAATTTTCCTGCCTCCAAATTTGGCTCGATTGGCCTGAGATGCCTGGTCAGCATAGAATGGGTTTTAACACTCGGTGTGCACCACATTAAAAAAATCTGGGACCACTTAGTACTTTGTGGGAGCGCCAGTTAAATTGAGTGCCAGCTCGAGCAAACAGTGCTGCAAACACCAAGGATTCACTGATGTAATGTCATATTAACACTCCCCTTTTCAGAGGAAAGTGATGTTAACCCCAAGTTTAGGATCTGTATCTATCTATCTGTCTATCTCTGTCTCTGTCTATCTCTGTCTCTGTCTATCTCTTTTTATCTATCTCACAGGTACACACAAATACAATTATACATAGTGTAAATTACCTAGGTTAACCTAAAAAATCCGAAGTGCTATACTGTGCTTGTAGATATAATGCATAAGAATACCTGTTGGTTCACAGTGGCTCTCTCTGAGAAAGAGAGACAAGCAGAGAGACGGAAAGAGACAAGCAGACAGAGAGACAGATAATCAGAGACAGAGATACAAGCTCATCAAATGTCATCCCTTACCTCTGCACCCTTGCTGGCGCATATCAAATGTCATAGCTTATCTCGTCTTATCTCTGCACTATCTCATCTTTGCACCCTCGCTGGCGCCCATCAAATGTTATCCCATATCTCATCTTATCACTGCCCTCCTGGATACTTGTCACATTGCTTCAAGGGAACTTCTTCCTTCTTTTTCCTTCTTTCCTCCTCCTCCTCCCTTCTTCCTTCTTCTTCTTCTATACTCCTGTGTATCCAAAACATTGCTGGGACCTATAAATACTTTGTATATACAGTGGTCCCTCAATAATCGTCCGGCTCGATATTCGTCCTTTTCGGAAATCGTCGCGTTATTCTCGTCCAAACATTGGCTCGCAAATGGTCGGTTTACTCACTAATCGTCCTTTGTCCGGGACACGTACTCACGCTCTGAGCCGCCTCGGCCTCCCTTCCCAGCCAGTGTACCATTGTTTATCAGTGAGCAACGGTCCCTCACTTGTTCATACGAAATATTTCATAATATTCCATTCATTTTAGTGCTTGCAAGTGCTAAATAAGCTACCATGGCTCCAAAGAAAGCTCCTAGTGCCAAGTCTTTGGTAAAGAAAGTGAGAAATACGATTGAATTTAAGAAAAACATCATTGAACAATATGAAAGTGGCGTACATGTGGTCGAACTGGCCAGCTGAGGAGCTGCAAGAGCTTCAGCAGGAACAGGGACAGATCGCAGCTCAGAATCTTGCTGCAGACAAGGAGGAAGAGAGATGGAAGAAGGTGCCTTCTTCAGAAATTAAGGAGATTTTTGAAATTTGGGGTAGGATGGAAAGATTTATGGAGAAACATCACCCTGAGAAGGATGTTGCAAGCCATATCAGCAACTTGTACGGTGACAGAGTCTTGGCCCATTTTAGGGAAGTTTTAAAGAGATGCCAGAAACAGAGCTCTCTGGACACTTTTTTTGTGAGACAGGACTCCAATGACTCAAGCTGGTCCTAGTGGCATTAAGAAACAGAAGAGAAGTAACCCCAGAAAAGCACTTGGTACCTGAGGTGTTGATGGATGGGGATTCCACTTCCAAACGGTAACTAATTCAATGTCTCTCCCCCTCCAGTCTTCCATACACTAAGAAAAATCGCCAATGAAGGTAAGTGTTATGCTGTTAATGTTTCATTCATCATGTCTCATTGTATTGTTTATGTACTACATCTATATTTCATGTAAAAAAAAATTTGTTTTAACCCTTTCAGGATCCAAGGCCAAAATCTGAAGTGGTGCTCCAGTGTCCAAGAAATTTTGAAAAAAAAAAAAAAAAAAAAAAAATTTTCTTACAGAATTAAAGAGCATATTTTTGTGAAGGTAATAAGACAAAAAAAAAATCTGATCAGTACTTACCGAGATACAGTGCCAAGAAGTTTGTCAAAAATGATGTGGTGGCGGCAACATCGACGAATTCCACATACACGCATTACATTATTTTGTGGTTTTAGTTGTTTTTTCTTTTCTTTTCCAATTTTTTTCTATTCCTACTAACATTTGGGGCCTGAGAGACCAATACTGTATATAATGTATATATATAAACTCACTGTATTGAACACAATAACCGCACTAAAGTTATTATCATATTATTGTTTACCACTGTTGTTTATTACAATAAACATGCACAAATATTGTATAATACTAATGTTCTATCATATATTTACATATTTACAATCACTGGACATGGTTTTAGAACTGCTGGAGCTTGTGGAACTCCTTGAAACAAGGCACCATGCACAGAGGCACCTTACATTCCTCACACATAAACCGAGTGTCTTTGCGTCTTTGTTGCCGTCGTTTTGTTTGTGCACAGACAATGCATCTCTTCTGAGCAAATTTCTTCTTAGTTGAAGGAAGCTGTATTATGAAATGATCACCTTCTCTCCTCAAACGCTTGGGTATATCCTGAGGAATTCGAGGACCATGTTGTATAGCAGATGTTGTTACCTGGTACTTCATTATGAGTTGTCTGACAACAGACAAACAAAATTCACCATACGGTGGTCTGTTGCCAGTCTTTATTTGGTACATATTATATGCATTGAGCATTGAAATGTCCATGAGATGGAAGAAAAGTTTCATGTACCACTTGTAACTCTTACGAACACAGTCAACAAAACCAATCTGCATGTCACACTTGTCAACCAAGCGCATGTTTTGTGTATAATCAATCACTGACACTGGTTTTCGAATACGTTCATTAGTCACTCGATCAACTTTGCCACTGTCTTGCATTTCATTACGGTGAATGGTTATCAACAATGTGACATCTCGTTTGTCATGCCACCGTAATGCCATGATGTCATTGGCAGTAAACACCTGCACGTCATCACCACGAGCACCTGCGTTGAGCCTGGGCATATGTTTACGATTAGAACGCACTGTGCCACACACATCTGTCTTGTTCACTCGCATGAAATCACCGAGTAATGGGCTTGTGTACCAGTTATCTGTATATAATGTATGCCCCTTACCAAGATAAGGTGCCATCATGTTTCTCACTACGTCACCTGAGATACCCAATAACATCTTGGTATCTTTCAATGTTTTACTACCCGTGTATACAACAATATCCAACACCAGGCCACTGTCACAATCACAGAGTACAAACAGTTTTATACCAAAGCATTTCCTCTTGCTCGGTATATACTGCTTGAATGACAAGTCTACCTTTGAACAAAATCAAAGACTCGTCAATTACAAGATTCTTGAATGGATAAAAGTATATGCTGAACTTTTGTTTGAGATACATGAAAACATTTCTAATCTTGTATAACCTGTCACTTCTGTCAGGCCTGGTTTTGTCAGAGAAGTGCAACATACGTAAGAGTAAGATAAACCTGTTAACTGGTATGATTTCACTGAAGACCGGGGTAGAAATTAGCCGATCTGTGGACCAGTATGCTTTTATATTATGCTTATAGACGTGAGGCATAAGCATTATTGTTGCAAAAAGCAAATACATTTCTGCAACAGTCGTCTCTTTCCACCTGTGTAGTCTTGACATGTAGTGATAAGATCGTATTTGCCATGGTGTACTCAAAATACTTATTACTTTCCCTGACAATAATTTCCATCAATGGCTGGTCAAAGAATAATTCAAAGAATTCCAGTTCATTGGCCGTGGTTCCAAGGGGACAAGTAGGTAGAATTCCACTTTGAGAATCATCAAAGTGGTGAGGCTTGGGAACAAAATTGGGATTTTGCTGCCAATCCCACGTACAGTTTGCTGGTGGATACTGGACATCATAGGCTGGTTGTGCAGGTGGTTGTGATTGTGGTGGGCTGGTGGCTGGCGCTCCGCTTTGTCCTTGAACTGACGAGTCAGCAGCGTGGGTCCCAGCGTGGCCTCGTGAGTCACGCATGGCGGTGCCACTACCATCACCACTAACACCATCCACTGATGCCTGTGGTCTATCCATGCCAAGTGTAGCCACATCATCCTCACTATCACTACCTAAAACTGGTGTTGGGCCACGGGATGTACTCCGGGATGTACTCCGTCCCCTGGGCACAGCATAGGGTACACTACCCGAGCGCATGCGGCGGCGAACATACCGACACTTCACTGGTGAATATGATTCCTCACTATCACTACTCGATTGATCGTCGAGCGCAATAAAATCACAGTCCACGTCACTATCATCATTACTGAAGTCAGAGGCCTGGCCACGCGAAAATATTAGTTTTCTCTTGCGATGAGGAACAACCGACCGTGAGTCACGAGTGCCCACACCAGAGGTAGAAGGTTGAGGATCGTCAGGGTTTTCTGCACTATTATCGATATCCTGGTCATTTTTTTCGGTCACTAACTGATCAAAGCCGTAGAATTCGTCTTCATTTCCACTTCCATCAGTGTCAGAACTATCAGATAGGAAGAGGAGAGTCCCAATTTTCCGGGGAGTGAGAGCTGACTTGCGACGAGGTATGGTGAACAAGGGTAACTGAGCCGGCGTTCCCACAATGCTATGCGGGCGCCTAGATTTTTTGTTTATGGCGCACACCCACCATGCAGACCCGTTCTCTCTCATGTAGGCCTATGAGCGTTTTCGCGCTAAATTTGACGGCGCTAGAATTTTGGCGTTGATCTACGGTTTGGACACTCAACGTAAAGCCGTTGATCAACGGGACGGACCCTGAAAGGGTTAATACTTCTGGGTGTCAGGAATGGATTAATTGTATTTACATTATTTCTTATGGGGAAAATTTATTCGAGAATCGTCTTTTTCGATAATCATCGCACTTCGAGGAACGGATTAACGACGACAAATGAGGGACCACTGTATTACTAGACATTAGTAAATGACCAGGGCAGGTGTAAATGTCCACCTGTCAATGTATTTGTGACAATTTGAGTACAATTTCAGTACCTAATATGTATTAGTGTCAGAACAAAGATTGTTTATGAAATGCCAAGAACTACAATAAATTGTAATTATCAGAACATAAAAATTATATAAAATAATATAGAAATGAGAAAAAATGGTATGTCGGCAACACTTCCTCAAGAGGCAGGACTCGATGTTGCAGTCAGGTGAGCATTAAGTGCCAACTTTGCAGCCTCATATGTCAGTAAGTACTGACCCTAATTTTTTTTATTTTAATTCTATTACACTTTGAAAATTTTTCTCTATTTCATTGAAAAATAAAGTTTTTATTTTTCAAAATATTTGGGGCACTGGGGGAGAGAACGTATATATACGTTTGGACCGTTTAGGGGTTAATGGTGAGCAGGTTTAGACTTTTGAAAATTGGTGGAGTATGCTGTCGGGAGTGGGAATTTATCATTCTGACTGCTGCCTTTTGCTGGGTTATTAGTGGTCTTAGGTGATTTAATGTTGTTGATCCCCATGCACAAATTCCATATGTGAGATAAGGGTAGATGAGTGAATGATACAGTGCCAGGAGAGCTGATTGTGGAACATAGTACTGTATCTTTGATAATATGCCTACAGTCTTAGAGATTTTCTTGGAGATTTGTTGTATAAGTGTCTGGAACTTGAGGCTACTGTCAAGGTGGATTCCTAGGAATTTTCCCTCTGAGTCTTGTGACAGGTGATCCATTTAGTGTTATGTTAAGTGGAACATTTGCAGCTTTGTTTCCAAACTGAATGAAATAGGTTTTATCAGTATTCAGGGTAAGTTTATTAGTCATCATCCAGGCAAAAATGTTATAAATGGTGTAAAGGTGACATTAAAACAACATCAAAGATGGTTGACACAAACCCACTACTATTATAGTATGCTCCTCACTTAGCAACGAATTTGTTTACCAGCGTGGTCTTAGGAACAGAACTCCATCATTAAGTGAGGAGAGGCTGTATTCTGCTTTGTTGCTTTGGCATAAAAATGTAGAATATATATTTTTTAACAAGTCCATTGTTTTATGCATGTGATTTACTCATTTCAGGAGGCGTACTGTGATGTTACTCTGGCATGTGATGGACGCTTTTATCCAGTCCACAAGCTGGTTCTTTCTACTTGCAGTGATTTTTTCGATGAGATGTTTGAGAAAACGGCATGCAAGCATCCAGTCATTGTGGTAGCCAATGTAGCATACAAAGATCTAGAAGCACTGCTCAATTATATGTACCTGGGTGAAGTGAATGTCTTGCAAAATGATCTTACAGGACTCATGAAAGCTGCTGAGGCACTTAGAATTAAGGGTTTAGCAGAACCTGTCAATGCCCCATCAACGAAGGACATAAGAGAGAGCAAGAGGTCTTCACTGTGGGAAGATGACTTGCCTGATGGTAAAAGAAAGAGATCGGAAGAGGTGCCACCCACTGCAACCACTGACAATGACAGAACAGGAAGGAGAGAAATGCAAAAATCCAGAATAACCAGCAATGATTCTGAAACATCAAGACACAAGGCGCAAGTTCCATCTAGTGGCAGTAACTCTAGTAATTCAACAGATCAACCAGGTGCCACATCATCTGCAGAGATGCTAAGTCATTCAGCCAATCAAGACATGGGAGCGTCTTCACAAAGTGATGCTGACAATGAGCCAGTTGATAAGGCTCTTAGACCTGAGGTAAGCCATTTAACAAGGCTCTTTGACGTAAGGTAAGCCATTTAACAAGGCTCTTAGACCTGAGGTTAGCCATTTAACTGCTTTCATTCCTCTTCAGTTAATTTTACACTTTGTGAATGTAACGGTATGAGAGGGAAGGCAGACTTGCCTTTGAAAAAGTTTACTTAATTATACTACTTGCCAGTTTCCTGGTGTATGTGTAGTAATTTTAATGGTGCACACTTGGTAGTGTGATCACGAGTGTAGTGCACAGATAACTTACACACAGAAGAGAGAAGCTTGCAATGATGTTTCGGTCCAACTTGGACCATTTACAAAGTTCTTTATGACAGGGTAGAGTGATTGATGACTTCATTTTCTGTTCATTTAACCCCCTCAAGGAAGGTTCCTTGATGCTGGTGAGGGGCTCTTGATCTAGGGAATTGAATCTGTGCTCCAATTCCCTGAATTAAGCCTGAGTACCTTCCACATCCCCCCCACAGGTGCTGTATAATCCTACGGGTTTAGTTCTTTCCCTTGATTATAATAATAATGTTCATTTAACAATTACTGGCGTGTAACTTGGAGATAGATCACTTTTTGCAGTGTGATGAGTTACCCACCCTCAAAGAAATGGATGACTTGTAGCAGTAAATAGATAACTTGGGTATCATCTAACTGTTGTAGGCTACTTATTGCATAGTGTAGTATGCCTTTGATAGGGCTGGGTTTTGAAATGAACTGAAATATGATGAGATCTCTAGTCTGTAAATTCAGTACTGTAAACAAACAAATTGCTTATTGAGTAAGAGGCTTGCTTTTTGCTGTTCTTAGAGCTCTTTAATAAAGCTAGTAACAAGACAGAATCCTTAAAATGGATCAACTTAATTGTGGTATTATTTTAGAAATCAATTTTAACTTTCAATAACAGTAAACAAGGAGGTACCTAATGGGCACTATTGCTGTAATTGTCAGCTATACCTCAAGTGCTTTACACAAATAATGCTGCACATTGCAGAGAGAAGCTTACGACGATGTTTTGGTCTGACTTGGACCATTTACAAAGTCTCAGTGACTACAAATGGTGTGACTTTGTAAATGGTCCAAGTCGGACCAAAACGTTGTCCTAAGCTTCTCTCTCCTATGTGTGGGTTATATGTGTATTGTTCCAGTCACAGTACGTATTGTCCAGTCACAGTATTGTTATTTACCTCAGGTGCTTCTTTTACATGTACTGAATAGGACATTTACCTTCTAGGTTAAAATGGAAGATGTACTAGTCAAAGAAGAGCCAGCAGGCTGGTTTCCTGAAACTGAGGAAGGCCTAGATAGCTTGCAGTTCAGTGAGGCAGACACAGGTCTTGCGTACGCACCACAACAAACAACGTTCAGAAGTGGATGTCTGCCATGGGAGTTGGCTGCTGCTGCTGCCACTCAGGCTCATGTTCTAGACTCTCAGCTACCTCATGGACTCCCAGGACCCTCAAGAATGCAAGGAGTGAGTACTTACTTCAAGGTTTTTGTATTGTGATGAAATCTCCTTAATGACAGTACATTTGATGTTTCTCTTGTTTTGGCTTCTCCCTCTCTTCACATGATGAGGGAGTTTGTTTTTGTTACCCCATAGCTCACATTGGAGAAAATTAACTGTTGACACGTAGATATTTTCTGTGATTTTCCATCTCGGGTGCAATGCATTATCTAATTTTTCTAGCTCTCAGATAGTTCATTTGATACCTATGATTGGGCTGTAGGGCTGTGGTCATGTGTGGTCAAGTTGCATAAATTATTCTGTCCTCAGACAGCTCTCAAAACTGGTATGGTTAAACATCATCAGGCCTGATGTAGCATAAAAGACACATTAACATGGCTGAAATGATTCACAAATAACCTGCGCTTAAGAGAGGAAACTTACGATGACAGTGATCCAGGACGAATTGAAATATTGTCATAACTTTCCTAATTCCTGATGTATCAGTGTTCTTAAGCATTTATGAAGCCACAGTAATGGTGAAGATGTTGAATGATGATGAAAGTTTTTTCTTTCTTTTTGGGTCACCCTGCCTCGGTGGGAAACAGCCGACATGTTAAAAAAAAAAAAATTCATTCACAGCATTATCATCATCAGAAGGGATGATTGGTACCACAGCTAGACTAGAAAGTCCTCTCACACATTCACTAAATTGTATAATTGCCTGACTCAACCTCTTATATAATAGACGGCTACATTAATAATTTTTTTTTCATGCCTAGCTGCTATAAATCTAACTACTGTATCAGGTTTTACACATCTTAGTGTTTTGCAGCCAGCCACATCAAATTTATTTAGCTAATACTCAAACAAAGACCAAAACATGGAGCGGAACAGCATTTACTGCAATAGCATTCCACCCCAAGGAGAGCATTCCTTGAAGCAAGACATCTCGAGGAATAGGCTTGTTCAGCCTTGTGCATGCATCGTCTTCATTTGTTGACATTCTTAAAATGCATTTGCCTCCCAGCCATATCAGATTTAATTAACTTATACATTCCTTGACTAATATTACATTCCATCCACATAAAAATATAACCATTAAGGAGATAATGTCACATAACATGGATTGCATAACCTTAGAAATTTGCTTATAGTAAATGTCCCTCTATTGGACTATTCTATTCAACAGATTTGATCACTTTTCCGAGTCAGCCTTGAAAATCCTATAATTTGGTCTTGTTAAAAGTTAGCCTCGGCGTAATTGGGGGATTGATGCTAAATAATTATTTACAAGGCAACATAAGGGTTATCGTCTATTTATTTTTTAGTATGGAGCTACTGGAGAAGAGCATCTAAAATATCGTATCTAGAGCTCCCTCTGCAAAGACAGTGATTATTGTGAATGATAATGAGAATGTGTTGAATGATGGTGAAAGTGTATCTTTTTGGGTCACCCTTGCCTCGGTGGTAGATGGTCCGATGTGTTAAATAAAAAAAAGAAATTTATGAAGAGGGATTCAGGATGTTACAGGAAGAGAATGTTGCAGTTAGGTGCCATCTAAACTGTGATTAATCATCACACTTCTGGCAAGACAAGTGATTGACTGAATGATGGTGAATGTGTTTTTTCCACCTTTCTATTAGGTCCACGTCCTCAGGTGAGCGATGGCTGCAGTGTAAAAAAAAAAAAAATGACTGTCCTTTCTGTGACTGTGTGCTAGTCTTCTCAGTGACTGTTGTGTAATTCTTCTGTGACTGTTGTATGTGATTTTTTCATGAGACTCTTTGTTCACTGTCGAGTGTTATTTGTAAGTGATTTGAATTTTTGTTGATTTTGGAATGTTGAAGATTTACTGATTGTGATTTCTTAGTCATGTAATTTTTCACTGATTATGGGGTGTCATGCTTTATTGATTGCTGAACATCCATTCTTTAGTGATTGTGTGATTGTTGAATATTGTTTAGTGGTGGTATGATTGATGAACATTGTTCAGTGGTAGCATGATTGTTGAACATTGTTCAGTGGTAGCATGATTGTTGAACATTGTTTAGTGGTAGCATGATCGTTGAACATTGTTTAGTGGTAGCATGATTGTTGAATACTATTTAGTGGTAGCATGATTGTTGAACATTGTTTAGTGGTAGCATGATTGTTGAACATTGTTTAGTGGTAGCATGATTGTTGAACATTGTTTAGTGGTAGCATGATTGTTGAACATTAATTCTTTAGTGATCGTTTGATTATTAATTCTTTAGTGATTGTTTGAATATTAATTCTTTAGTGATTGAACATTAATTCTTTAGTGATAGTGTGATTGATGAACATTAGGGCTCTGGTGACAATGTGTCTAAAGCTCTCGCTTCACATGGCGAGGGTCTGGGTTCGATTCCCAGCCAGGGTAGAAACACTGGGCATGTTTCTTTACACCTGTTGTCTATGTTCACCCATCAGTGCAATGGGTACCTGGGTGTTAGTGGACTGGTATGGGTGGCATCCTGGGACAAAACTGACCTAATTTGCGGGAAATGCTCAGCATAACAAGCAGCTTTTCATATATAGTAGTATGTCCATTGCTGTCAGCCTACAGGTCTGTATACCTTGTAGTGTACTGTTAGAAAAAGTATTATAATTATTAATTCTGTACTAGCTTTTGGTAGTATAAGCAGGGTAATATTTATTGAGGGATTCAGGGACACCGGTTTTATTTTATATATCCTGACTTGAGTCCTGGAAATGGAAGTACAATGGCGTACAATGCCTGCACTCTAAAGGAGGGTTTGGGAATTGGCAGTTTGGAGGGATATTATGTGTATTTATACGTATGGTACTTCTAAACTGTTGTATTCTGGGCGCCTCTGCAAAAACATGATAATGAGTGATGGTGGTGAAAAGTGTTGAATGGATGAACAGTATTTTTCTTTTTGGATTTTCTTTCTTTTTGGGTCACCCTGCCTCGGTGGGAGACGGCCAACTTGTTGAAAAAAAAAATTTTAAATCCTTTAGTGTATTGTTTGAACATTTAATTCTTTAGTGATTGTGTCATTGTTTGAACATAATTCTTTAGTGATTTGTGTGATTGTTGAACATTAATTCTTAGAGATTGCATGATTGTTGAACATGAATTTCTTTAGTAATTGGTGTGAGTAGCATTATTGATTGTTTGAATAGTTTTTGTGAAATGTGATATGTGATTTCTAAAGTCAAGTGATTTTTATCATTGATAAGCAAATCATAGTTTTTGTGATTGTCACTGGTGGAGTGTAATTCTTTGGCGAGTGTGGGGCAACATTCTTTGGTGTGAGGGGCAATAATTCTTTGGCACGAGTGGGGCGTAATTCTTTTTGCGCGTGTGGGGCGTAATTCATTGGCGCATGGGGGGCGATAATTCATTGCGAGTGCGGGAGCGTAATTCTTTGGCGAGTGCGGAGGCGTAATTCTTTGGCGAGTGCGGGCGTAATTCTTTGGCGAGTGCGGAGCGTAATTCTCTGGCGAGTGCGGAGCGGTAATTCTTGGCGAGTTGGCGGAGCGCAATTCTTGGCGAGAGCTGAGCGTAATCTATGGCGAGTGCGGAGCGTAATTTTTGGGGAGTGGGAGGTAATTCTTTGGCGAGGCGGAGCGTAATTCTTTGGGGAGTGGGGAGCTTTAATTCTTTGGCGAGTGCGGACAATTCTTTGGGAGTGCGGAGGTAATTCTTTGGGGGTGGGGGACGAAATTCTTTGGCGAGTGGGACAAATTCTTTGGCGATGCGGAGCGTAATTCTTTGGCAGTGCGGAGCGCAATTTTTTGGCGAGTGCGGAGCGAAATTTCCCTTCACTTTTAAAGTGATTTTAGAGTGCGATTTTATTGATTGTATGATTGAAAAAAGGTTTTTATTCATAAAATTTCAAAAAGGTGATTGTTATGTCTGGACATTTAGGTTCTTCACGATTAAAGAAAAAAAATTGCACAGTTCAGTACCTGTAAAATTAAAATCACCGATGGGGGCACTGCATGAGCCACACGTTTATTGCATTTTTTTTAGTGCAGTAAACGGCCCAAAAATGCCCAGAGGAGGGTTCTGAGGGACAACGCTCCTCCCCGGTCCACGACTAGGCCTCTACTGGTTATTATTAATAATAAATGTTGATAAAGATAGGGAAATTGATTTGGGTATGGGCAAGGAGGAATAACACTTGTAGGGTGGGGGGAAGAGCCAGTTGGAGCGGGGGGAAGTTCGGGGGGCATGGGTAAAATGAAAGGGGGAAGGAGCTGGGATTGAGGATAAAAAGAAATGTTAAAAGCGGTGGGGATATAGTTTTGGGAGTGGTTGGGAAAATTTTTTTTAAAAAAATGTATGGAAGAGGGTAAAGGTACCTGGGGATTGGCAGGAGCAGCTAGTTCCTTTGTATAAAAGCAAAGGGGATAAAAGGAGTGCAAAAATTATAGGGGGTAAGTCTGCGGTATCCTGGTAAAGTGTATGGTAGATTTATTATTGAAAAAATTAAGAGTAAGACGGAAATAGGATAGCGATGAAAAGGAGGCTTTAAAAAGGTGGGGGGTGTGTGGACCAGGTGTTTACAGTGAAACATAAAGTGAACAGTTTTTAGATAAGGTAAAAGGGGGTCTTTTGGGCATTTATGGTTTTTGGGGAAAAGGCGTTGACAGGGTGGATAGGGATGCAATGTGGCAGATTTTGCAATTATGGTGTAGGAGGTGGGTTATAAAGCAGTGAAGATTTTTTTACGGGAAAGTGAGGCTCAAGTTAATATGTAGGAAAGAGGGAAATTATTTCCCAGTAAAAGTGGGCCTTAGACAAGATGTGTGATGTCACCGGGTTTTTTTTAATATATTTATAAGGGGTTTTTGTAAGAGAAGTAAATGCGGGGGTCTTGGAAAGGGGCGGGAGTTAAAAGATAAAGAACACACACAAATGGGAGTTGTCAAGTCTCTTTGTGAGCCCCTCCTTGGGAGATAATGAAGAGAAGTTGCAGAGATTGGTGGATAAATTTTGGGTTTTGGGGTGTGAAAAAGAAGAAAAAAAAAA